TATGCAATTGATCGGAATTCCTCTACCCAGCATTATCATCAGTTATATGCGGACCACAGCTCGCATGAGGCCCGGCGACACTTGTTTCGGATTTCCTCGACTGCTATCACTTGTTTTTGAGAAGCTCAAGGTTCCTCTTGGAACCGAGAGAGCGGTTGTAACTAGGTCGGCCGAGGAGGTGAATGCTACGATACTCAAATCCTTGGGTATTTCTACGAATTTTGGAGCTGCTTTGGTCCGGGACACAGGAGAAGCATCGACTTCCACTCAGCCTCCGCCTCGTACTGAACCACAAGCGGAAACTCAAGGGACGGAGGCACAACAGACTCTTCCTCCTCCGATTCCGCGACCACCTCCTCAACCGCGCTCCAAGTGGCAAGAGCTCCTAAATGCCATTTGTTGTATGGAGACGCGAGTTGTCGAGCGCATTGACCAAACGGAGCGGATGATGACCGAGCGGCTCGACCGACACGATCGCCGTCTTCGTGCGATCGAGGATCATTTCCATATCCGCCGGTCCCCTACTCCTACAACTCATCAGGAGGAGGGCCATATTGGTACCTCACAAGGTCCTCATGGAGCCGAGGAGGGAGTAGACCCTCGTTCCCAGCAACCATGATGCTCTTTAGCGGATTGGATCTTTTATTTCTTTATTTTTCTTTTCTTTTGTTAAGACAAACTTTGTACATTTTATTTTTCTTTTAGTTGAATCATCTTGTGCTACTTAAGCATGTTTGGTACCCTTGTTGTCTCATTTTGGACACAAATTGGATGATTGTGATGATTAAGGGCTTCAAATTGCATCACCACCTTTTTAATTGGAAGTTTAGGTTGTTTTACCTTCGTCTACAATGACGACAATGTGTCTTGAAATGCATGATTTTAGTTGTTTATGGCTTCAAAATGTTGGAATTATATTTGGAGATACTGTACAGAGGAGTTATTTTTCTGAATTTGAGGATGTTGGCAGGGAGTTTCATCCATTTTTATGGGGAAACTCTGTCCAAATTTTTCGAAAACGTTTTCCAATATTTCATTCCAAATCTTCCAATTAAATGCCCAAAATGTTCCAATTTTAAGTGTGTAATTCTTCCTTTGGATAAAATGCTATGTGTATTTTAGAAAAGTTTAATTCTTATTTGGCTTGGAATGAATTATTATGCTATTAGGATTTTTACATTTTCCAAAGTATATTTGGTTAAATAAGAAAAATTATGCTTGAAAATGGTTACAAAGTGTTGTCTATGGCTTGAAACTGTTTTACATTTTAGTTGTCTATAGCTTGAAAATGTTAGTTTTGTTTTTGGAAATATTGTCATAAGGTTAATTTTCTTGAAATTGAAGTTGTTGACAGGGAGTTTTGTCAATTTTTTTGGGGAAATTCTTTCAAAATTTGTAAACAATGTTGTCCACAATTTCAAGTTACTGGCCAAAATGTTCAATTTTGCCCATTTTTTTTAGTTGATTAAATGGGTGGATAGATGCATTATTGGATACTTGAGATTGTGGGGGACATTCCATACGAAGTTCATGCACGAGCTGAAATCAATGGGAAGATAGTCCCGCCGATAAAGTGCACAAGAAATTAGGAGAAAAAATGAACGAAAAACGAAAGAAGACAAAAATTAGGAAATTTAATGGAATAGATCCGAGCTCGGATCGATAAGAGCTAAGACAGATCCGATCCCTCGTCTGTACTTCTGTAGGAGTGTATCCGAGGTCAGAAGATCCGGCCTCGGATCCATCATGCGAAGTCCTCGGATCCTACCTATCCGCCCTCGGATCGTTGGATCCGACCTCGGATTTATATTCAAGCTTCCCATCCAACGATCGGATCAGTGGACTCTCTACAACAAGTGTCACGCCCGTCTTCCTTAACCTTTCTTTGCTTTCATTTTTTTCCTTTTCCTTTCCAACTAACAAACAAATAACATGCACTTCGTGAAAATAACTTATATAATTTTTTAAAATAACATTGCGTTGTACAATTTCTAAAATTACGGTTGACATTGTAACATATATTAATGACTATTAACTATTATATTCTTATAACTAATTTTTATCGATGTCAAAACATTTATTTGACACAAAAGGAAAAACACTTAATATTTTATTCACAACAAATACTTAACACCTTACATGTTAACAATTTCATTCTATTTTTACATTGATCTATAAAATAGAAAGAACATTGATCTATGACATACAAAGAACTATCATGTGTACTTTTTCCACCATTTAAATGTATTATAATTAAATAACGTATTTTCAACGTACAATTACCAATTTTTGTTATTATAAAAGAATTATGCATGTATAGTAAATTATATTAAAAAGATTATTGTTAATCTGATTTTGTTTTAGCTCATATTTGATGACTTTAGCCACGTGCAAGTTCTAAAATAAAAAATTTATTATTCCTCTAAACATTACACATTTTTAAACAAAATTTCTCTAACCTTTCTCCGAAAAATAAGATTTTCGTACAGATTTTAAAATAACATTTTACTACCGACACCATTTTAATAAAGGCAACTTCTACAAAACAAACAATATTTACATTTACTTTTATATTTTTTATGGAACTCGTAGATATCATTACATATTTTTTTCCTAACATTTTTTAAATTAATTTTGTAAAAGTCATACTTATAAATGCGAAATCTAACAAAAAAGTTAAATACAATTTTTCCAGGTCAAATTTAACAAATGCGAGCTATTTGCAAAATTTTAAATATTTGCAACATTTTTTAAAACAAAAATTAGCAGCTTTCTGCGAATAATTCCCTACCTCTCAAAAAATACAAAATAAAAAAGATAAGACCTCGCATTTGCTTTCTGGAAATAATTCCCTAGCTCTTAAAAAATGAAAAAAAAAAAATAGACAAGAGCTCTTATATGCGGAATGCGAGCTCAATAAGCAGAGCTCGCATTCCGCGAATGCGAGCTCTTGTAAGCTCGCATTTGTGAAATGCGAGATCAGTGAGCTCGCATTTCACAAATGCGAAGACCCCCGGACGGAAATTAATCCCAAAATCACCCCTTTTGTAGAATTTTTTTTAAATTCATCACAAAGTTGGAAATTTTTCATTAATTCTAAGACTTCAGTTGATTCTTTGTACTATCATTATTTGGCATCTATATTATTTAAATTAATTGAAAACTAGCCGAAGAGAAATTGATCTAGTGGTTAAACTTGAAATTTTAAGATTCAGAGGTTCTGAATTCTAATCCCCATCCCCTCATTTCACATCTTAAATTTCACTCCTTCCCTGCTTAAAAAAAAGGGTCAATTGCAGTTTGCACTCACCGACTATTCAAGAATCAGACTTTACGTCCTGAACTTTGAATTTCAGCAATCAACTACCTCAAACTTTTAACTTTTGGCACAATTTAAAAATTAAACTAAAGATAATCACAAAAAGAGTGATGCGACTGGTATACCCTTAATTTCTTGTTGAGCTTCCAAAAATACCCTACCTATGACAAGTTTTTTGGAGACAAAAAATTCTCAAATTCCTAGAACCCAAATTCCTAAAATCAATTAAATAAAAAAATAATTAAAAAACTCCATATCCAATTCTTACCATCCCTAAAAGCCACACCAGCACCATAGCCTCTTGAAACTCATCAACAAATTAGAACCTCAAGAACTCATCAAACAAACCACTGAATCAGTTCCTTAAAACTCATTGGACAAGAAAGAAAATAAGTCCACAAATATCCCATATCTAAGTCTCATGACCCAGTCGCACTGCCACCACCATAACTTCTTAAACTTCCACCACTCTTACCTAAAAATTCATCAAACATGAGACCAACTCATCTCATGAGAAGCCTATATCTTATCATCGTCAAACAACCACACCCTCATCAAAAGAGAGAGAGAGAGAGAGAGAGATCCCATGCCGAAATCTCACTACCATCAAGAGCCCCATCACAACCACCAAAACTTCTTAAATCCATGGGTATTGACGTCTCCTATATAGAAGAAAAAAGTACCTTTTTTAGTCAACACCATATCTTAATTTGAGCTCTCTTCCACAACAAATTTCGATTCAAGCTCATCCACCACCATTTTTTGGTCAAAAATAAAAGAAGAAACAATGGATCTTGAGTTCAGGCTATCCCCATCACCATGGTCTTTGTTGTTGAATTCAAGAGAGGGAAGTGAGTGATGCTGTTGCTGCTTCTTCATTGGGAGAAGGGGCCAACGCATGCTAGGATAGCTTACTGCTCTTCTCTAGGATGGTGGATGGGGGTTATGGGGATAGTGGGCATTGCTGTTTTTTTTTTTTTTCATCCAATAGGTTGAGAGTCAATGGGAGTTTTGGATGCTTCTTTGAATGACTAAACTTTTCAAGGAAAAAAACCTTTTATTTTTCTTTCTTTTTCTTATGATTGAAAGCCTTTGTTTGTTACCATATTATTTTTGCAAAGTTAAGCAAGGGTATTTGGAGGACAAAAGAAGAGTAAGGTGTGAAACGGTCTTTTTATCTGTCAAAATTAGGTGGATTGTACTATGTTACGAAAAATTAAAAGTTAAAGGTAGTGAATTTGCAAAAATTAGAAGTTTAGGGTGTAGTGCTCAATTTGGAAATAGTTCATAGGTGAAAAGTGCAATTAACCCTAAAAAAAAAAATTTAATTGAAAACTAATAACTTTTCTAACTATTTTAGAATAAAAGCATTTTTAATATCCTTGATTTGCGTCGGTTTACCGAGACACTCGTATTTGTTTAGAGGTACTACTAGGAGGAGAACACCGCGATGATGCGCGGTGTAATTTTCAGGCTTGCCCAGAAGCATCCTGTTATTCAAATTAAAATATTAATTATAAAAAGTAAAATCTTTGCAACATTTACTAAAAGGACATCAATTAACCCATCTTATTTTGTAATAAAAAGATGGCTTTAGAGTTCAAATTATTGTTTTACCGAATGAAATAAAAAAGTAAAGTTAAAGACAGTGACAAAATATTCATCCAATCAAACAAGAAAATTTCACGAAGAAATGCCATTGAAGTTGGCAATATAAAACTACATCCTCTAATAAACCATCAAAAAGTCAGAAAATTTGATTTATTGATGTCCTTGATGTCCTTTAAGGATCATCATCATTACAAAGAACTAAAAAATAGCTATATTACCAGTGGGAATAATGTAAATTACCTAGCAACAAGCACTCCTACCAAACCTGTGTGAATTCAATTTTCATAAATATCCCCATTTTTTGTTTAAACAATTTTGCCAGATGGGATTCCAGTAGCTGGTTCGTGGCCCTTTGGGTATTTGACCGGTTCATTCTGTCGTCTCTCAAAGGATTGTTGCGACAAGAAGTGGTGCTCCCGTTACTGTCTGTACAACGATGTTTACGGCTAAGTTCTGGAGGTAAAATCTGCTTTACTTCGCCTCTTATGGCTTCGAACTAAAAGCAAGATTAATGAAGAAAGTAAGTTCCTTGATTATCAAAATGTCAAAGAAAGAATGAGATGAAGAAAGTTAATAACTTTCTCAGACTTGAACTTTTGTGCTAAACACACACTCACGCACACGCACTCTGACAGCTCCAACATCTTATATTCTCATTTCTCCCTCATAAAAAATATGCACATTGCAAGAGGTCAGAAATTGATCACAGCTTAAGAAAGCATTTACATGTTAAGAATCAGAGTTTACAACAGAAAGATCATGTTAGAAAATGAAAGAAATTACCTCTTGAAGCAGCAGATCAACGAACATATGAACCTCTCTTGGCTCCTTGTGCTATCATAAAATGAGAAGCTCAAAACATTAGCCAAACTTATGAAGGGTATAGATTTTGAACTATTCACTGCAAAAATTTTACAGAATTAACTAACCTTAACCTAGTTTGGTGTTGTAAACTTCGTCCGCAACAGAACTGATATCTTTTGAGTTCTTAACCTTACATACTGAAAGGAAAAAATAAAGTACTCAATGGCTACTTTTTACATCAGATTCAGAAATTTATATTTACTTTAAGCAAGGATTCCACTTCCATCTTCCATTCTCTTAGGCAAGATATGGCCTCAAAGGATCTGATTGTGTCCATAATCTAGTGAGCTAGGGTAATAGTCCTCCAAAATTCACTACACAAATGTGAAAAGTAGAGATTTTGCATGTAGAAACTAAAGTTTTGAATGAGAACAAGAAATTTGGCTTCTTTGAAATAATAATATGAGATAGATTTTGAGTCTCGAATCTAGCGAGCTAGGCTAATAGCCCTCCAAATTTCACTACACAAATGTAACAATTTTGCACATAGAAAGTGAGTTTTTGAGCAAGAACAAGCAGTGCAAAAGATGATCCAAAAATCCATACATGGTCCAAGCACTTCTCCCCAACTACCCGGAAGGTGCGACAAATCACTGCAGGGATGAAAGCAGGGCCATACTCGTAACCCCGAGCACCACCAGAAGAAAAGGAAGAAGCTATTTCTTGACACCGTTAAAGATAGGATTTTTTAGAAAGTTTTCAGAATCTAATGGACATTACATATTCTCTAGTAGAATGCAGAAACAAACACAATAAAAACACAGAACAGAAAGTGACCTCGGTAATTCTTGGGATAGCACTTTGCTCAATGAAAAGAGATAGTTGAGCGAGCAGAAGAACAATCCCAGGAAGGACCTTTTCTCCTTGCACTCCCTGCGTCAAACTTAGATCTTGGCTACTTGACTTACTTTTGCCTGAAAGAAAAAGGAATCACTCATTGAGTTTTCTGAAGAATTCTTGAAATCCTTCTTGTACCCAGTGAATAGTTAAGTCTCTCAACTTCAATGATAGTTCAAGTTTTTCATCAAGAAGCTGATGGAAATCCTGAAATATGAAATCCATGGAAAAGACTGAGAACTAATCAAGAAGAACATAACAGGTAATCTTCCATTCAGCGGAATCAGTATCATGCATTGCAGAATAAAGAACGAAGCCTCCTTTGCCACCCAAAAAAGAGAAACATGTCAAGAATTATGCAAATACGAACTTATGGGACCTGTTAAGCAACAACAATTGGTCACTGCCTACAAAGTGTAGGACATCAATAAACTTCAAGATGTGGCTTTACAATATTGCAAGCATATTCATTACAATAAGCAATTCATTTAACACAAATCAACTAAGCATCAATACAAAATAAGTTTTTCTTCCTACATATGACAAAAGTTGTTCCTCGTGATGCATAAATCCCTAAACTTGTTAAACTTAATGAGTTTGAATCAATGTAATCTGGGTAGGAACACATTACCAACATATGGCATTCATAAAATAGTGAATTGTATTTTATACAGAGAGAATCCACATTGTAGCATTTCTGTTTTCTCCTCATAATTGGCAATTGATGGCAGGATTTGTGGTTGTTCAAGCTAGCAGGTGAAGGTATATTTACTTAAAAAATGGAACAACAAAACCTACTCCTCACCCCTACCTACAACACACACACACAAGCACAAAGGGGGAAAACAAAAAGAAACAGAGTTTCACAATGAAGTATAGCAGCACAGGCATTCATGAAAACAACCTTGATCATTACCCGCCATCCTCGAAACAACCTTAGTTATTGATGTCCTACAACACTCTGTAGGCAGTGACATCAAGAGACTTCAACCTTGTTACACAGTGTAGGGGCAAGCAGAAAATGTAGAAAATCAGAGCATAGGCATTCTAGAAGACAACCTTGTTCATTCCTCATCCCTGCCCCTCCTATTCCTTTTGATCCCCATATTTTAAAATTTTATTGAGAGACTTTCAAAGGAAATATGACATGCAATTTCAGAAGTCCTGGCTTTACCGAAAGCCACAAGCTACCAGCTCTTATCAGCAAGACATTCATACAGCCTTAAATCTGCTATACAAATTTTTCATACATTATTCCCAAATTTTTAAGCTGTTTTTTAACTGGCTAGGTTGACATTGCCAACCAAAATAAAGTTCCAACAAAAGGCAAACTACAAATTACCTAAGAAAACAACTTAATTTACTCTCCTTGCCACTACTGAGTTGATAAACAAAAAGAAAAGTAAATTATCAATAAGGTTGACAAATAAACAAAAACTAAAAAAACAAAAACAAGACATATCTCTAGAAAAAGGGAACAAGTAAAGCTACAAGCCAAACAGCAAATGTACAAGCAATAACATGTCTGAGTTGAATTCTGCAAAAAAAGAAATTGAGCTTAAGGTTTTGGCAATGTATGATTCTCAAACAGAGAACTCAAAACAATAAAAATGGAGCAAGTAAAACAAGTAAAAGAAAATAACTTTGGATCTAGAGGAAATAGGATGCCGTCACAAATTGTCACCCTTCACTTTTTTAAAGACCAATAACAAGATAAAGAGAGCAGAAAGTTACAGTAAGTTACAATGAAAAAAAATCTGTTCACAAAAAAAAAGGAAATTAAAACATATCGTCAAGGCTTATTGAAGAAAAGTAGCATCCATTATCTTTTCTTCGTTCATCTAAGAAAGACTAAGAATAAGCAATGCTGGCAAGAGCAAATTTATTAGGGGGACAAAAACGAAGAAGACAAAACCTTGGATCTACACTAAACAGATTAACATAGTCGAGACCAGCATGAACAATATTGGATTTTCTCATATTATAGTTGAAGAAAGAAACGAGTAAAAAAAAACACCATATTATCACAACCAAATAACCCAAAAAAATGAAAGGGCAAGAAACTAACTGTAATTCCTCCTTTAGTGGCCTTCCTTGTGTTTTTTTACCTGAGATAATCACACAAAAATTCCATAAGAACAAAATAATCATAGTCAAAAAAGTCACGAGAAAAATAAACATCATGTGAGTTTTTTTACCTGGCGGGTTCTGTAGAGATTGAGGATACCAGATAATAACATGCAAACCTTAAACTTGCACCCTGAAACAAACATGACAAAAATCAGTCAAAATAAAGGAAAATTTTAAAACTAAAAAATGGCGAGATCAGCGGCGAGAAAATAAATCAGATAAGAAAGATCTCCAAGGTAATTATATACAAATAAAGAGAAAAATAACTGAGAGAAAATATAAACTTTTCTGCGTAGAAAGAGGGAAAAATCATAAGTTTATGAGGAAAAGGGATGGATAAAAATCAGAAACGGAAAAAGAAAAATCAAACGTGAGCAGTTGAGCAAACAAGATCGACCAAATCTTCAAGGTTCTCCTATTTCAGGATAAGAAGGAGACAAAACGGAAAAAAACAGAGAGGATAAAAATGTGGGTTTTAAGTGTCATTTTTTTGAATAATCTTTAAAAGAGGGGAAGAGGGGAAAAATGAAGAAGAAAGAGAGAATAGAAGCTGTGTGCCGTTATTCTGTTTCTTTTCTTAGGAAATCCATGGAAGGAATGGAGGAGAGAAAGGAACCAGAGAGGCAAGAGACAAAATGGCTCGGAGAAGAAGAGATACAGTGAGCGGCGTAAATGAATTCTCAACAACCCTATCAATCCAACGAGGAGGCGAAATCTACAGAAGAGAAAGACTAAAGAATGGATAGGACTGAGTGGTCATCTCAAGTCCATTGCTTCTAGCAAAAGTCATAGATGATTGATTGATTAAGAAAGGAAAAGGAGAAACAAAGGGGAGAAGACGTCTGGAGTGGTTGGGGTTGGTGGAGCTTTCTAGTGAAGAGCCTGAAGACCATTGCACGAAAGAATGAAAGAAAGAGCAAAAAAGGTCACGTGCAAGACATGTTCAAGGGAACTAAACTTGTCACCAATCACCGTGCGCCACATCACCATCCAGCCAATCCCATGGCGCCACGCGGAGGACGACCACGTCCGACGTGGATCCCGTGGCTCCGCCCTTAGTCTATATAGTTAAAAACCTGTTAATTGCTAATACAGAATATTGAATACTCTAGAAAAAGAAATGAGGAAATTTAAAGCAAAGTGAATGAGAATAAGACAAAATATGAACACCCCATTTCGATTGACCCACGAATTACGTATAATCGATAAATGTGTCATTGTCTTAGTCAATTAAGAGATTGTTAATAAGAGGCATAAGCTGTCATTACTTTATTTGCGTGCCAATTTGCAGGGCAAACGTCATTGAATTGAAGTCATTCAAATATTTGTGATTCTTTTAGCTTCAGCCATTTCATTCTCTGCAATTTTTCAGTTAAAGAAGAAGCAAGACTATAGGAGCACAGATTATTCTTGAATTTTACATTTGAACAGCAACTTCAGTTCTTTGTTAGCTCATTTAATTTTTCTTTCAGTTAATAAAAGTTTAGGAGGATAGCGGAATACCCTATTCAAAAGTCATGACGGGTAACAGGTTTGATCGAGATCATAGAATGAATTTTACAAATTGCCTACCAAGAATTAAGAGACGACTTCAGAAGAATTTTTACGAACTTCGCAAACCCTTGCCTTGTTACTAAACCAGGCACCATATGTCACTGAACTTCTTATCCTTTCATTAGTACAGTGACCATGGAAATGTAAAACTGTACTCCTTTCAAAAGCATTTAAGTTAGTATTTCATCAAATCCCATTCCTCAACATGTTCTCAATACTATGCCTTCATGTTTTTCTTGAGCTTCTACAACAATCTTACTTATTTTTATTGTCATTCCAAATTCTTACTCAACCTAGGTCACTCTATGTCTTTCCAGTTGCAAGAACACCAGGAGCAAGCGACTAAGATTTTGAACTGCAATAATTAGATCAATGGTTAGAAATTAACTTAGAAGTGCAAACTCCCACGTATGAAGCCGCCTCTGTTTCTTCCCATATTCCAAATGTCACTTTCCTTTATCCAAAAGGATCGGCACCACGAAAGGCTTCGTTTTTGCTAAGCTAGATTTTGAAGAAGTAAATGTAAAGAAAAGGACAAAACTTGTTCTTAGTATTTTAGGTCAAATTTTTGAAAGAACTTTATTTTGATGCATGCTTTTCTATGCACTATAGCTGGGGAAGAAAGAAATGAAAATTATCTTTCAGTTAAACAGAACTTGAGTGATCTCAACATAACTGCTTGATTATTAATCTAAAAATCATGTCTCCAATCCTTTCTTATGTTCTTGTCATAAGAAAACACAAACACTCCCACAAAAATTAAGGTTGTTCTTATCATTTTTATTTGTATTCATCCGGTTCGCCATGCAGTACAAGAAGTAGTTGTTATTTGACAAACATAAAAAACTAAGACTAATCTAGGGCAAATGACATTGTATTGACACAACAACTTTCTTTAAGATATATGTGTACCCATTATTAGTAAAAAATTGAGTTCAAACAAAAAGTAAAAAATGGTAAATTTGGCTTTTAAACGAAATTTCGTAACATTAAAATGCTAGCTGTGGCATTAATACAAGCGCTATCTTAGGAAGAAGATGCCACATTTATGGGAGGCATTAGAAGAAAATATTACCAAAACGTAGGCAACACATGTACTATCTGACTGTCCAAAACAATTCATCTCAATTGTTAACAGTAATTTTTGATTCACTTGTTGGAAATTGACACATTCAAATGCATCTTTCTACGTATCCAAGTAAAAAAAAAAAAGTGTCCTTTCCTTCGTCAAATTATTTAGGGCAAATTCCACTTTACCCCCCTGTGGTTTAGCGTTTTTCCACATAACCCCCCTATGGTTTCAAAAGCTATACATGACCCCCTTATGGTTTGGATTAAAGTGTCAAAGTAACGGAAGTAGTCACTCGTAACGGCGTCACCTAAAATGTCAAAAATACCCTTATGTAAGGTTGAAATTTATGTATTAACCAAGGGGGGTTATGTGTATATTTTGAAAATAATAAGCGGGTTATATGGTAAAGTATTAAACCATAAGGGGGTTATATGGTAAAATATAAAAATCATAGGGGGTTAATGTGTCATGTATTTATAAGGGTAATTTAGACATTTTTAGAAGTTCCGTTACGAGTGACTATTTCCGTTATTTTGACACTTTAATCCAAACCATGAGGGGGTTATGTATAACTTTTGAAACCATAGTGGGGTTATGTAAAAAAAGGGTAAACCACAGGGGGGTAAAATGTAATTTACCCAATTATTTAATCATCATTTTGTGACACACTACTTGGATGTTCAAAATAATTATTTCATTGAACCCATCAGATACGACTACCTTAATTTAATATTAGATCGTGGATAAACTAGATATTGCTTCAAGCAAAGATACTTGCTAAATTAATAAAACAAGGAGTTCGTAACCTATGTTTTCAAACTCGGACTGGGCATTGACTCGGTAAAGCTCAGGGGTTAGGGATTAATGGGGTCGATCGGGTTTGATCGGGGTTGAATCAGATGATGTCATAAATAAAAATTATTTAAAAATTAAAATATTGTAGATAAAATACCTAAGAGCATGTTAATATTAATAAAGGTATATTCATATATATTTGATGTTTTAAATATATTTAACAAGAAAATACAAAGAAATTAGAACAATCAAGTAGCAATTTATATTATGTAATGAACATTAACAAGTTTAGAATTAAAACTATGGACGTAATTGAAAAATAATATCAAATTTTACGACAACATTTATAAAGTATAAAATATTTGAGGTATATTAATAAATTTTAACAACTTAGGAGTCAAAAGATAATATTGAAAATATTTGACCTTTTTTTAAAAAAAGTTTTGACTGAATCAGTTCTTTCAATTTTTTTGGTCAAACCCGGTCAAATCCGGTTTTTGACTAGATTTGATCGAGTTTTTAATTATAAATGTCCTAATAGCAATTTTGTTTCACTTACAAAAGACAACAGATCTTCCCACGAGCAAAATGAGGTCTGCAATAACACTCATAATAAAAGTCAACTGAAATGACTGTACATTCTTGGGATGATTCACCACATTAATTCTGAAAATTAATAAAATAACCAGGAAGAAATACTGAACATCCTAAAAGAATCTGCCATGACAGGCACTGAAAGGAAATTTAAGGCATTAATTTTTTTTTTTTTTTTTTGCATATATTGATTACAGACCACATTTAATCCCATGACGTTATCAGATGGAAATTCATAATCAATCGGTCTTTCTTGTTTCCTGTTGCAGCTTGACACATTCAAGGTTTTGAGAAGGATCTTTCAAGAAAAAATAATAAAACCAAAATGAAGTCAATCAATAAATAAAGCCTGAATTTTTGTTTATGGCTTCATTTTTGTTGATAGTAAACATAGATGACTAATTAGATTTAGCCTTGACAGAGTAACGAATGCCATCATTTTTTCTAATGTAAGACGGCAGAAAAATATTACTAGTTAATCATCAGGTGAGATGTACTGCAATCAGCAAGATGGTAGAATCAATACGTTTACTCAATTGCATTTACTTCATTAATCTAATAGCAAATCTTATACTCCAGAATACTTGATAACTCATATACTAGTAAAATAAAGGGCTAAGGATTGGATATTCCGTTTTTCACCAATGCTACAAAAGATATTCAAAAAACCAAAAAAGAAAATTAATGGCTTATCCTCTATACTTATCCCTAGAAGAACCATGAATCAGAAAAAAATCCAGTGGCTCTGGAGTTAAGTTCATTGCAGGTTTTGGTTCATCAAGCCATCGAATCTCATGCCCTACAACAGATTTTGGTATTCATTATTGAGTTACATTATTGCCTTTTAATTAATCTAGATGCTGACCACTATACTTGTTCCTATTATCAACTTGGCTGCTTGCTTTGGTCTCAATTGGATTCTAAGACCAATTATATCTTCTAATTTTTATTTACCAATAATAGGAGACTGACCAACGCAAGGTGCAGGAATGGGGTGCCTCTGATGTATTCGGAACTTATCAATCAATCTATCTACCACATTTTCAATTGATTAATTGGCAAATATTACAAGTAAAACATCAAATCTTGCAACGAAAACTATTTCCTGCTGTTGTCAGTTTTCTGTTGACAGAAAATAAACAATCCTCCATAGAGAATACAGTTCG